CGTGATTACACGTTTACAAAACATTTGAAGTACGTGTATCGAAGAGAAACAAATAGCTACCTATAAAATAGTAATGTCGCTGGCTTCAATAATGAAATCGCATATAAAATTTCAGTGAACTTTAAATTCTATAACAATATTAAATTCATCATATCTTTGGATATTGGATCGCATCGAGACCAGGAAGTTTTGAATTCGATTTTCGATTAAAGCTTTGCGGTTAAACGACGCGTGTGGAGATAATCGTTTGAAGATCGATCGATAAATAATTATATCGATCAAAATAAGGAGGATGAATTACAAAGTATCGAAAATTTATTTGAAGAAACAATACAGTTTTATCGATAACTGTTTATTTCTTCGAAATAATAAAGTCTCGTCCATCGAGCTCAATTAAATCTGTCGGCCAAGTTTCCCCTCTAAACTGATGAAATTTATAACCGAGATTAGACTGAATTCTCAATTTCTCCTAATGAAAAGGCGTAATAAAAGAGGGTTTTTAACGCTCTTGGTCGCAACAGGCCATCCTTTTTTAAAAGATATTAGTCTAATGCATCCTCTTGGAAGACGTAAGCAGCAGGCTCACGTAGGTTAATTACGGTATTTTTGAATTATTGCGAGGCTTACTTTCATATCTGGTGAAAATCTGACTGGAAGGTCGGCGAACCTGGAGAAAAATCCGTGTTTTCGAGGTCTCTTGCTCTCTCTCTTTCTCTCTCTCTCGAGGATAAAACAGTACACCGAATTTATTCCGGACCACCAAGTTGCCTCGAAAAAAAGGATTGCAACGAGGAATATCTTTCTCTTGCAATAGTCGAAAGAAATAAATTATGAACAATTCGTACTTAACTATCTCTTGCTTAACCAATCTTCCCCTCTCTAAACTTCCTTCTAATTTTTCTCTGGAAGCATCTCTGCTTCAGAGTCGAACGTTTCGACTCGGAGAAATTTTTTTCTTTCCCTTGTGAAGTAAAGTAATTAGAAAAAAAAAGTAAAATCCAATCCTTCCTTCTCCTTCTTCCTTTTCCATTATAAAGTTATAAATACCCTCGTCAATTTCATTCGTTTTCCAAAAATTTATTTTTTATTTTTCGCCTCGTCGAATCGTCGTTTTTTGAAATATATCGAACCAATTGGGAGAGGGAGAGCTTGATAATGATTAATAATTGTAAGATGGATTGTGAGACCATGAACTTTCGAAACGAGTCGGAGCCAGTTTTAATCGAAGGATTAAACACAAAGCTCGGATTTCGAAAACACGTCATCGAGTGCTACGTTTTGGAGTAGATGAAAAATAGATTTTTCTTCTTTTTTGAATTTATATTTTGATATTTTTCGTCTGCTTTTCGTCAAAATCAATTGTTCAAAATCACGTGGATATAAAAATACGTTTGGAGATAAAATATAGTAAATATTTCTTTTACGAATTCTGTATCTGAATTCCATTTCTTCTCTTCTTCTTTCTTTCTAAGAGAATCATCGCGATCCTATCTCGAAAACATTCCAATTTTTCATCCTTTAATCCCCCCATTTGATATGCTATCCAACCAGGTCAGGCAACCAGCCAGCATCTCCTTTTTCCAGCTACTTCGCCAAAAACATTGGGCGGAAAATGTGAAAATTAGTCTCTTTTATCTCCTCTCTCTCCTCTCCCTTTTTCTCTCAAATTCTTCGAAAACTTCAATTTCGAGAACTTCGATTCCCCCTTAAAGAGATGTAAACGGTGTTTTCATTCGAATTAATCTATCTAAAAGATTATTCAAGATCTATCTAGAGATATTCAATCGTTTTAATAAAACAATTTGTTCTGCTAGTTGCACAATAGAACAAAGATCGGTACTCGATGGAGAGTCGTACACGAGCGCCACGCGATAAGATTAGATAATCGAGCAAATCGGACAGCCAACCTCGGATCGATACTACGAATAAGCTTTTAGAAGATACGAGCTCGAGTGGTTATATCATCCCCCCCACCCAACAACCCGTGTGTGTACCCGTTGGTGGAAACTTTTTCTTTTTTATTTCTCTCGATAAACCATTCGCTATCCATTATCGATATATACCGCTCATCGACCGATTTACACGGAAGATTTCCTCCGTTTCGAGTATCATATCTACTACTTTACTTTCCCTCTACCGGCCATTCCTTCGAATCCAAACGTAGCGATTCTCTCGTCCGGAAAATCGTCCTTCGCTTCCTGTTACCTCGTGCGAGAGAAATAGAAGAGGAGGAGGAAGAAAAAGGGGCAAACGAAAAATTTCGTCCCTTTCTTTCTTTTTTTTCCGTTCAATAGTTCAATTCCTCGTTTCCCGGAATTAGCTGTTGGTTCTCGAGCGCCGACAAACGTGTCGTCGACGGGGGCCAACGGACGACGACGAGCTCTGCAAAGCTCGAAAACAGGGACGGAGAGATACAGGAGAGGGAAGGAGAGAGGAGGACAGAGTTCCACCAGCATCATCCCTGGAACCATTAACCCCTGCGATGCGTCGCGTTTAACCCGCGCCGTTCCTTCCCTCCCTGTTCTTCCTCCACGCTCTGATTCTCCTCTTCCTCCTCCACCACCACCCGTTTCGACCAAGTCCACGCTGAAACGAGAGAGAGAGAGAGAGAGATGGGCATATGGGCGTATGTAGGGGATGAGACGAGGGAGGATAACGCGACACACTGTATCCGCACGAAAATTATTCTCGCACGGCGGAACAACCGGTGGAAAAAAAGATGCGCCGCCCTCTCTACCGTCGAGTTAATAAACTGGCTTCCTCGACGGTGCTCCAAAGTGTAACGGGAGGGGTGCAACCGTGCCGTGAATTAAAGAGAGGAGGGAGGGGAAAAAAGGAAAAGGGGAGGAAGGAGGGAGAGGAGGACCTAGGATAGTTATACCTCCTTCGCGAAATTTAATTTTTTTTTTTCCTTTCGATTCCAGTGTATCGATGGAAAAATTTGGAAAAATTTCAAAAAATCAATCTTAATA